TAGCTAGGCATTCTAATACTAGATTGATGATAAGTGGAGAGTGGACATCCTTGTCTTGTTCCTGAGTTAAGAGGAAATGGCTTTAGTTTTTCACCATTAAGTATAATGCTGGCTTAGGTTTGTCATATACAGCCTTTATTGTATTGAGGAATGTTCCATGGATTCCTAATTTTTCCAGAACCTTAATCATAAAGGGATGTTGGATGTTGTCAGATGCTTTTTCTGCATCTATTGAGATAACCATGTGGTTCTTATCTTTGCTCCTGTTGATGTCATGAATTATATTAATTGATTTGCATATAGTGAACCAGCTTTGCATCTCTGGGATAGTTTTAAATGACGTCTAACTCTCAAAAGATGCAAGCAATATGTGGAAAGTCAACGAGATCTCCTGGCAAACCTCATTCTCCTTCATCGCTCCACCCCATTCCAGGACCAAGATCCCATCCATCGCCATTGGGATCGTGAGCGGTCTCTTCTTGATGGTGGTGATCGCACTTGGCATCGGGCTCTTCGTGCGCCGACGCCGCATCGTCCGGAAGCGCACACTGCGCCGTCTCCTGCAGGAGAGAGAGGTGAGCTAGGAGACTGGCTGCCTTCAGGCCATCAGCATCTTCTACTCTAGAGAGGATAAAGGCCTCCTTTGGAGAAACTGTCCCGGCAATTTTGTACTTTAGATATGGTTTTAGTCATTTCCATCACCAACAAATACATGCGAGAGTCAACTTACAAAGAGAAAAGGTTCATGGTGGCCCATCGTTTTTTCAGAGGTGTCAGTACATAGTCATCATATTGTTCAAAGGAACCATGGTCAAACTTCTTTCCAGGATTAATTGGCCCTGTTGTCTGAGATCTGTGGCAGCACATCATGGCAGAAGGTGGAGTAAAACCACTCACCTCATTTCGGGAATCAACAAAGAAAGAAGAGACAAGGGACCTGCTGTCATTGTGGAAGGACACAATCCTAGTGACCTAAAGAATACCCATTAGGTCCTATTTCATAAAGGTTCAACCACCTGGGCAATTAACGAAGCCTGTAACACACATATCCAAATTACATTATTATTAAATATTTATGATAATTAGAGAGCTAGAACCGAAACTCTGAATGTCCAATTATATGCACAGTTGCATTTTGGTATCTCCATTAAATGAATGTGCAAGTTTCTAGGCCATGTCACTGAACATTTATGAGACTGACTGGAGTCTTGTCTAAGGGACATTCCCTGCTATACAGAAGGCTTGTGAACAGAGAGCCTGTAAAGGCCTATGGTTGGGATGTTACTTTGGATGATTCCACTGTCCACATATCCAGCTGTTTTGTGTTTAGTGCTAGCCTTCACATTGACATTAGCCAGTATGTACAATAGCATTAGAATCCATTGTCCCTCATGTTTTATAGGTCCTGCAGTTAGCAAAAATGAGCATGGGTAAAAATTTTCCTCAACATGATGTTTCAGTCTAGCTTGAAAGAAGTTATCTATAGTGCTTTTCAACAACACGATGAGTGCTTTGTATTGAAGCACAGCCACACATCTAGCCACTGGTTAACAGACTCTAGATCTTGTACCACACATGTCGGCATGGAGAAGTGAGCTAGCATCTCAGATCTGTTCCCTTCTCTTTCCCAGCTCGTGGAGCCCCTCACTCCCAGTGGAGAAGCTCCTAATCAAGCCCTGCTGAGGATCTTGAAGGAAACAGAATTCAGAAAGACCAAAGTGCTGGGCTCTGGAGCATTTGGCACTGTGTATAAGGTAATGTCTCTGGTGACAGGTCAGCACTAGGGCTTTTGGAAAGCATCAGACTCAGCATATACTGCTGGTGGTCTGTATAAGAGGACTCTGGTCCTCAGCATTTCTATTACCATCTACTCTTTGTTTTGATGAAGCCTTGGGAAATTCCAGTCTTTCCCAAGTTATTGAGAAGAAATCATTTTTAGTATAGTGACAAATAACTAGTCTTGTGACGCCAAAAGAAAATACTCTTTTGTGCCAGTCTTGGGACTTGAAGCCATGGCCTGAGCCTGTCCCTAAGCTGTTTTGCTCAAGGCTGGCATTCTAACACATGAACCACAGCTCTACCTCCAGCTTTTTTGGTGGTTCAATGGAGATAGGAGTCTCATGGTCTATCCTGCTCAGGGTGGTTTTGAACCATAATTCTCAGATCTCAGCCTCCTGAGTACCTCAAATTATAGGCATAAGCCACCTGTGCCTGGCATGACCGAAAACATTTGTATAGACAGTGTTGTTGACTTTTGGTGGAGTGCATAGGCCTAACAGATGAAGACAGATTACACTAAATATCAGGTCAAAAAACAATCCTCTTAATCTGTGCCTTTCTAAGATCTTCTTTGTATAAAGTCTGGTTACAGTTAAGCCTAGACCCAGAATCTTAGGCTCACCACTGCCTTGACAACTGGCACAAATACAATCTTTAAAATAAAATAAAATCTAAATAATTACTCTGATTCAAGTTGCCTGTTACCAACGGTGCTTCTGAGATGTCATGTCTTCAGCACAGCCTCACAGCTGTCTTTCACCCTTTAGCACTGTGTCACTAGTAAAAATCTCACAAAGCAGCCTACTGCATGGTAAGGGAATTGTGGGCTGATATATACCCTCTTCATCACTACCCTGTTTTGTTATTTTGCAGGGACTCTGGATTCCAGAAGGAGAGAAAGTTAAGATTCCTGTGGCCATCAAGGAACTCAGAGAAGCAACATCTCCCAAAGCCAACAAGGAAATCCTTGATGTGAGTCTCAGCTTGTTCTTGAATTGTCCAAAGGCCCTGAACACAGGAAGCCACCTTTTCTGCTATCTGGCATCATATTGCTCTATCTTAGACATTTTTCAGCTACACATTCTGTATGCATGCTTTTCGTACTTTTTTATTTCCATGCTTGCTGTAGAAGTTACAAGACTCAACCTGCTCCATTCTAATCTATCCCAAATGGTGGAAACTAACCGTTGCTGGGCATCTGCCAGGGCTGAACTTTGCACCCACTGACACAGTGAGTGCACAAGACAAACTCACGGTACAGGTGTTATGTTGAGTATTTTTTGAAAGAGGAAATGGTGGCTTATAGAAACTTGCTCAGCTTTGTTTAGCTGGAGTAGAAATGAAGCATGCCATTATTTCTAATTCTGAGACTTACTGCTGAATTATCTTGTCTTTGAAATGGCTCTTTTAAAAGTGCCAATGATGAACCATATCTACAAACTGTTACCTATTTTCTGTACTTTCTCCCAAAATAATTTAAATGTAAATCTTCAATGACCACTGGTTGTTACTTCCTAGAGTCTTGGGATTATTTCACAAGATTTTTGTTTTGTTTCAGTTCTCCTGGGCTTTCTCCACCTCCTTTAGACCTTCCTTAGCCAATGGTAGGGTTGAGTCCTATTTAGAAGAGTTTGGTTTAAAGTGGAAATCCTAGAATTGGATAAAATGTTCGTAAAATGTTAGCCTAGACATGCTGGAGGTAGTAAAAACTCCTGTTCTTTCCCTGAGACAGAGAATGTGAAAGAAGAGAGGAGTAAGTTAGATGTAAGAGAGGTGTAAGTTAGGTGTAAGCTTAGGTGTAAGTTAGATAAATTAGTTTTTAAAAAGAAAAACTGACTACCCATTTCCTCAGAAATCTGAATAATCGACTTTAGCTTAGGACAAAACTGCCTTCTATCTGACCTACAGACTTTGTAGTAAGCACACATGAGCCTTTTCAAAATGTGTTTGGATACAATGAATTACCCTCTACACTTTAATTTTCCCTAAGCATCTTGCTCTTTTTTATTAGAATAGTAAAACCTCACAATAAAGCACTCTAATAAAAGATGATGTATTACCACAGTGTGATAGAAAATCTTCCATGTTCATGATACACTTATCAAACAAAATTATCTTTCATCTTAATGGTCTGCAGTGAGGGTCCAAGTCCTGTTAACATAATGTCAAGTCCCATTATGACAACCACAAAGAGCCTAAATAGATAAGGGGTTGTGAAGTTTTCTCATTTGTCATCTCTAGCCTCTCACCTATACTTGTTAAAAATAACATTTATCTGCCAAATTTGCTTCCTTAATTTATTTGTACATATTCAAGCATGCTAATAAGCTATATAAATAATGTTGATGTGTAAATTTCAATATAAATATTGAGTAAGGACTGTGTGTTGATAAGGCAGTAGTTTATATGAAAAGTCTCTCTTCTCCCCCCCCACTTCTTAATTAGCGAAAATCTGCATTTGTGTGGGTGGAGATGAGGTAGAAGACAGATAAAGACTTAGCGATCAGTTGCAAAAAAGGAAAGGAAAAGTTAAGTGCCTATCATCTATAGGTCCTTCTGCCACTTTTTCATCCTCTTTTCTGATCTCTTCTCTCCCCCTTGTTGATTCCTCAAACTTCAGCAGTTACAACTATGACATGTAGTGAACAATGGACTTGAGGCTTCCTCCTTTGATTGTCCTAAGGTTCAGCCTGTCTGGATCTTACAAATCATCCTCTCAGTACAGGGCATGTGCCAGGACTGGGGAGCCCCTTTCAGACACTGGACTCTGAAGGAAATAGTTTCTACAAAGGGAAGCAAAAGCCAATGATTCACTAGGTGTCAATGGCTCACACCTGTAATCCTAGCTGCTTGGGACCTGAGGATCATGGTTTAATGCCAGCCAGAGCAGGAAAGTCCATGATACTCCTATCTGCAGTTAACCATCCAAAAGCTAGAAGTGGAGGTGTTACACAAGGGGTAGAACACCAGCCATAAGCAAAAAGGCTAAAGGAGATCACCCTGTCCCTGGGTTTAACAGCAGTATGCACACACACATACATGCACGTGCATCATACACACACACACACACACACACACACACAGAGCCAACGAGTCTAAGGCCAATTTCACCAGGTGCTAAAACAGTATAAGTAATCTTGCCACATGGGACAACCCACAGTCCATGTTTTTTTATTCTTTAAATACTGGCATGTACTTATAAATGTTTCCAGTAATCCAATATTCTGTGGCCCACCCACATACTGTAACTAACTCCTATTTGACAGATGCCTGTCAGTGGCTTAGTTAACTGGTAAGATTTTTGAAATATGGGAGGGGGAATACCTACCCTGCGTTCTAAGTCTAGACATGGGCTTCTCCTTAACAAATTTCACATGTAGTAAAAACTCTTTCACCAGCTATCACCCAAAATAGCACACAGATGAGGGAGACAATAACAAGGAGAGACCCCAAAAGTCATGTCAGCCATTAGGATGACATTATCATAGGCTTCCCAAGGTCATCAAAGTCTCTTGGACAACAACCTTGCAGCAGGACTCAGACAATAGCCATCAGGGTTTCCAAGGGTGACCTCTGCCCGCCACTTGTTGGTTCAGAGACTGTTGTGGAATACCAAGCATACTTGCCGTGGGTCACAGTGCACCATCACGAATTCCAAGATAAACAGTGAAGAACAAAGCTTACTTTAACTTCTGTACACACCAAGTGAGCAGACACACGACTGCACAGCGCCTCCATTGTGCCCTGGTGGAGGGGGGGGGTGAGCAGGAAATGACAGTCCCTTTCTGTTGGTCTATCACAGTGGTCTGGCAGGACTCCAGGCTCTGTGTGGCCTGACACCCACCCACACCCCCTGCTGTGTTCCCTTGTCAAAGTTCCAGGTCAGTTCCGCACTGACCCACAAACAGATGGACTGCTCAGACTGCTCTGCTCGGCTCTGCAGATTTTTTTTTCCTCCCCTCTAAAATGAATACAGTATGTACCCAAATCTCAACCAGATCTTGAGAAAATGGGAACTGCCAGGGAATTTCTTTGGTATTATGGTTGTACAGCATCCAGACTTGAGGGGGAGAGACATGATTTGTACTTTTCTGGCAATCTTATGACCTATTAATTTTTCCATATACTTTCCAGTTTAAATTTAGAGCAAACAGTGGAAAGGAAATGTGAAACACATTTATTTATATGCCATGTGTGTGTGTGTGTGTGTGTGTGTGCGTGTATGTGTGTGAGATAAAGCTCTCAGCCCATTAATCAGAGAACCTAACAGGCACTATGATTTGTTTCTACACAGTAATATTGAGAGCCCAGGGTACTGCATGTGGGGTAGGTGGGTGGAAGGTGGAGGGAGAATTAAGGGCCAGGGGTTAGAAGGCCTACATTGGCCTGGTCCTGACATGGAGAAATATAGTTTCACATTGACCACTCATCTCACTGGGCCTCATTTTCCTCTTCTAACCATAATGACCTTAGACAAAGCATACTTACTGGCACTTCCCAGTTCTACAACTTTAAAAATTAGCACATTTTGAACAGAAAGTAAGGGCTTCACTATCTATAGATATTAAATATTATCCTGTACTTTAATGTTGTGATATTAAAACACACAGATCCAGCCAAGTGCCAGTGGCTCCTGCCTGTAATCCTAGCTACTCAGGAGGCTGAGATCTGAGGATCAAAACCAACCTAGAAGGGAAAACTTGTGAGATACTTATCTCTAAAAAGCCAGAAGTAGGTTTTGGTTTAAGTGATAGAGTGCCAGCCTTGATCAAAAAATCTGGGCTTAGGCCCAGAGTTCAAGCCCCAGTACCAGCACACAAAAAACCTTGCAGTTTCTATCAGAACACAGGCACTCTGCATACTCAGAGAAGCATCCCTTACAATTGTGGGGTGAAATTGGCAAGCCAGGATTTGCAAGTGATTTAGCACCAAGGAGCACAGCCATTCTAGGACTGAGAATGCCTCTATTTCTTATAAATCTTGATGTGAAGACTGTTTTATAAATCATACAAATATATATCTACACTTTCAAATAATGGTCCAAGGCATTGGCCCTGCTGTGTCAACAAGGATTTGTCCAAATAGATAACCAGACCATCAGAATTTCCCTAAATCTTACCACACCTAGGGGTGGGAGAATGAAAGTTTGTCCTTAACCAGTTCTCCGTGTTCTCTCCTGAGGAAAAGCCTCTGGGTACCAGAGGAATCCTGGAAGCTCCACTCAAGAGAAGTCATCTAGAGAAAGAGAAGAAAGAATTCTGGGAACAGATGCCTGAAAGGAAATTAGAGAGCAGGAGGAAGAGTTTAAGGAAAGGATAGTTTAATCGTACTTGTATTTGAAAGTATATGCAGAGGCTGGGGTGGATCTCAGTGGTGGATTGCGGGCCCAACATGTGTGCAGACTTGGGTTCAATCCCCAGCACCCCAAAAATATCTATCTGTCTGTGAATATATCTGTTTGTATGTATACAAATCATCTATAATCCTTCCTACCACACCTCTACCATCTTCTTACCACATCTCCTGTCTTCAGCCTTGGGTCACAGCCTCCCTGCCCGGGTTATTCCCAGCTCCACCACATTTCCACAGCCTTCTCTTCCCTAGGATGCTTTCCCTTCTTCAGTGAGCCACTAAACTTGCCCAGGTCCAAATTCCAAACCCAGGAGTTGCTGAGATGTGAAAAGAGTCTCTAACTCACTCTCCTGCAATCTATGTGGACTCTTCACTCTGTTGCATCCACATGAAAGGTCACCATCACTTGTATTTTAAAGAGAAAGGATTTATGGGTGGAGGTGGAAGATTCCTTAATTCTCTGTCAGAAGAGAGGGCCCCATTGTATGCCTCAGCTGTAAATAACTTCAGCTTCCTCAGCTTCACAATGGCAAAGGGGTCTGTATTTATGGCTCTGTCCAGCTAAGACTCCTGGCTTGGCAACCAGCATGAATGGCATTGGGGTCAGGGGCAGGTACATTATGCAGAACAGCATGGTTTTCCCATCAGGAGACTGAGACAGACAACCTTTCTTCAGAGATAGTCCCCAGCAACCAGTGGAGTCTGGAATCACTGTTCATTCAGTGCTCTGTTCCCTTGGAGGGCTGAAACTGATTGTTCTGTGCAAGAAGTGCTTTGGGCAGGGTCCCTACCACAAAGGTTTTCTTCCTGGTGGTTTGGCGGCCCCACCTGGAAGCTTTTGCCATCATACCTGTTCAGTGCGTATGTCATGAGATTCCAGTGGAATGAGCGAATCATTGCCTAGGGTACACCTGCCCCAGGTCAGACTTCCACAATTCTCTGTCAGCTCTTTTTAGATTTTGAGGTGGGAAAACTTTCCAAGTAGTTCCTCAAATGAGAGATACTCAAAGTGCTTTGGGTCCTTCTTTTCATCCTACATTTTGCCCATGCAACCTGGGTCTTTCCATCAAGTAGAATCCCTGTACTCACTCTGTTGGTCCATCTCGCACAAAATGTCCTGTCAGTCAGTAGCTCTGAGTCAAAGTCTCTGACATGACGTATCTGGCATGACTACATATTTTCAGACTCAAAACTGTGTTTGGGGCCAGGTACTGCTGGCTTACAACTGTAATCTTAGCAACATAGAAGGTTGAGATCTAAGGATCCACAATTCAAAGCCATCCTGGGCAGAATCGCCAGTTAAATAGCAAAAAAAGCTGGTTAGAATGCCAGCCTCGAGCAAAAAGGAAGAGCATCTTGGCCCTGAGTTGAAGTCCCAGTACTGGCACACAAAACATTATTTTAAGCCATTCATCTTTATCACCTCGCGGTTCAAGTACCTCTCCCTTCAGCCACCATGGGGAAGCGTTTCTGATCCAGCTGCTCTCCCTCCCTCACAGGAAGCCTACGTGATGGCCAGCGTGGACAATCCCCATGTGTGTCGCCTTCTGGGCATCTGCTTGACCTCCACCGTCCAGCTTATCACACAGCTCATGCCCTTTGGCTGCCTCCTGGACTATGTCCGAGAGCACAAGGACAACATTGGCTCACAGTACCTTCTCAACTGGTGTGTGCAGATTGCAAAGGTAAATGCTCAGGGATGAAGAGGCAGGCTTCGAAGCACAAGGAAGATGTTCCATGCGGCAGTCACTTCCACTGGCTGCGTCTTGCCTTATCTTTAAGAAATGATGTAGACTCTTAGTAAGAGCTCTAAGGAAAGCATCAACAGGGGGAATAAAGAAGGCAGGGAAATGAAGCAATAAGGTCCTTGATCCTAGGTAACTGTGTTTGCCAAGAGTGTATGTCTGTGTGTGTGTCTGTCTGTGTGCAAGACATATACTTTTCTCTACATTAAGTTGAGTTGAATCAATGCCCACCTACCTGTTCATTGGAAATCAAGTCCAAATCAAGTGGACAATTTTCTCTTTGTTGAATTCTCAGCACAGTTGGATGTGTAGTTCTTCTTTCTCTTTAGTTCTTTCTGGTGAATCCTGGAGTGATATGCGGTTGGAACCTGGTTTTCCCCCTAGTCAGAACTTGAGAGCAATCACACAAATCAAGCTAAAGCCCCATGGACAGCGTGGATGCTGTGGCAAGAGGCCTGGCGGTCAATTTTGAGAAGGTTGCAGAGGGGAACAGGTGCCCCTGTTATGTGTCAGGGGCTCCTTCCATGTCCCATGTTGACACGCTTGCTCCAGAAACAGAGGTGGAAGGTGAGAGAGGGCATAACAGCTCCCACCTATGTACTGAGGATAGGCGCAGAGCAGGAGTCATAGCTGTTCATAGACTCCCAAAGAATTTTCACTCGCAACTTCTCCCCATCTCAATTTTATCCCTGCACTGACTTTTGGCACCTAACTTGCTAAATTTGATCTCCCCCCTCCCCTCGATAATACCACTCTCTTGAATTTAAGGAATCTGTGGGCAGGTGTTATCCCTGAGTGTACATCATTGTTCCCATCTCCTTCAGAAAGTCTGGGAAGGGTGTTGAAGGACATACCAGGGAGCAGCGGGCCCCCTAAGCCTGGCCCATTTCTCAGGTCCAGTCATGATGGCAATTGTTTCTGACTGATGCATGAGGTAGGCTGAACTTGCCTCACCCATCTCCAAACAGATGTAGAAGGTGACTTTACAAAACAACTGACATATCTTCTTTCCTGGCAGCTGCCCATGACACCACCAAGTCCAATTGTTTCTGTGAGCTATGGACCAGGCTGAGGCTGGCTTGCTCTGATAACTTCGGAATTCTTCCCTAAGATCTCCTCCCTGATTACCTAAGGCAATCTCTGTTACTCTGTTTTACTTTATTTGTAGCATTTATTGCTCCTTGGGAAGAACTGGTTTGTTCTTGAGTTTTGGGCCACCTGCCCCAACTGTGAGGTTAACCCTGAGCTATGTCCCATAGCTAGGTAGGGCTATTAGAACCTGGACCCAGCTCTTCCGGATGCCCATTTTATCAGAGGGTGCCCAGAATTCTAGCATCTCTTTAAAATTATCTTGAGTTTAAATTCCTAATTCCACAGAAGTTGCTATTCTTAGTGTTGGGGGAGGAATGTAGCTTCATTGCACAAGATTTACGTAGCATGGGCAAGACCCGAGGTTCCATCCCTTGAAATTCAAAACAGAACAATTTTTAAAAACACTTTTATGTGGAGAGATGGTCTTAATCAGTGTGAAACGTTGATGCTACTCTTTTACCTTGAGAGGAAGACATTTAGGTAGATTTCTCTCAATATAAAATTGGCTTACTACCAGCCATTGGTGGCTCATTCCTATAATCCTAGCTATTGAGGAAGCTAAGATCTGAGGATCAAGGTTGGAAGCCAGTCAAGACAGGAACATCGGTGAGACTCTTATTTCCAATTAATCACAGAAAAAGCTGGAAGTGGCACTGTGGTTCAAGTAGTAGAGTGCTAACTTTGAGCAAAAGGGAACCCAGGAACCTCGGTCTAGAGTTCAAACACCAGGACTGGCAAAAATAAGTATAATAAAATAAAACAAAATTGGTCTGCCAATTCAACACACAATAAAGTCAGATCTTGATTTCTGGCACTTGTGAGCTGGGTGAACCGGACAGATCTCGGCCTTTTTGTGTCTTGTCTATGGGATGCACTCTGCCACCTGTCTTTCTGTGGGTAAGGATGAGAGTAGACAGCCTCTGTGACACCTCCACACACGATACGTATGCGGGGGAGCTCACTGAATGGTTCATTGCCTCCTTCAGCTGCACCAGATTAGTAGTGACTACATTCTAACTTGGAGCTCTGTCTTAATTTAGATCTGCATCTGTCATCTCATTTCGGAACAGCCTCTCCTCTCCCAGGTCCTCCTGACCCTGTATATGAACTTCTATCTCCTTTCTCCTTTACTGTCTTATTCTTTCTTTTTTGGGGGGGGGGTCCGGTCGTGGGGCCTGAACTCTGGGCCTGGGCGCTGTCCCTCAGATCTTCAGCTCAAGGCTAGCGTTCTACCACTTGAGCCACAGCGCCACTTCCGGCTTTTTTCTTTTTGCTTATGTGGTGCTGAGGAATCAAACCCAGGGCCTCAGGCATGCAAGGCAAGCTCTCTACCACTGAGCCACCTTCCCAGCCCCTACTGTATTACTCTTATAGGGCCTGAGTGTGTCCCAAGATACTTTTCTACATTATATTATTCGCAATTCCAATGTGATATTTTAAACCGCTGTTGTGCCGTTATACTGTGCTTAGGTTTATTTTGATTTAAAGTCTGTTACCTTATGGGCAGTTCATTCCCTGTCTGTGCGAGACTCATTTGTTAATTCATGAGGGAAACCTTATTCCTCTAGATTTGAATAGCCATGGTTATATCTGTCCCTGGAGAAAAAAAGGAAAATCAAGAGAACTTTGTTCCTGGGTTAGTGACAATATATCCGAGTACTAAACAGGTTTCTTTCTACAAGTTTAAAGTGAAACTACCCAGAAATACTTAGTGGATAGACAGGAACAAAATTTCTGGTATTTTTCAAAGAGGGATTTATTAACTTATAAATGCTCTGTGTTGACTCACAAAGGCATAGACAGCTTGGAAGTTCCCTAGGTACTGGTGAAGAGCTGGCTACAGTTATGGAAGCTCATTATCCTGCTGAAAGGACTTTTTAAAAAAGCTATAATGATTACTCCAAATAAAAAGAAAAGATGGGCTGGGAAGGTGGCTCAGTGGTAGAGTCCTTGCTTTGCATGCATGCGGCCCTGGATTCGATTTCTCAGCACCACATAAGCAAAAAAATCCGGAAGTAGTGCCATGGCTCAAGTGGTAGAGCACTAGCCTTGAGCTGAAGAGCTGAGGGGCAGGGCCCAGACCCAGAGTTCAAGCCCCACCACTGACAAAAAAAAAAAAGACAGGAAAAAATAAAATAAAATAAAATAGAATTCACCTTTCAAGGAAACCAGGATGGAACTGGTAGCCCATAAGAGAGGCACATCACATTTCCAAATGTGACAAAGATGGGTTTTGTTATCCACATGCAAAACTCAACCCCAGGAGCTTGTGGAGATAGAGCTTGCATATCAATGTGAAGGAATAAGTCTAAGAGCTCCTGAGACCTAAGCTTATAGAGAGCTTTCACTCAATGGGACTGAGTGAATTGCTTAAGAAACCATATCTACACTTTCTTAGGTGCATAGGTAACTAGTAATCACCAAAATGTGTCAGATTGACAAAATAGTGCCATGAAGTGTCATCAGTTCAGTTTGGCAAACTACTCTGCCCTTAAACCTTTCAGTGCACACTCTTGCCAAATCCTATAATAAATAAAGCTGTCAAGACTGTGATTCGCCAAACATTTTGGACAACAGAGCTTTTCGTAAGCTCTCACAGAATTCAGTTTTCAGACAAACCTCGATCTGGCTCTATAATACTATAATGAAACCTATAATGATAACTATGTAAGGTCCTAAGGCCTTTACTTGTATACTAGTAAAGTATGCAAGACAGCTGATGGGATTTGGGGCTCTAATAGGACTGATTTATGGTGATCATTGTCCACCATAATACTATAAACACCAAACTACAGTTAGCTCAGTCCATATGATAATGCTTAAGAGGATTTTTTTTTTTGTCGGTTGTGGGGTTTGAACTCTGGGCCTGGGTGCTGTCCCTCAGCTTTTCAGCTCAAGGCTAACATTCTACCACTTGAGCCACAATGCCAGGATAAACTTTTAAAAAAATAAATCCGTTCAGGAATGGGAAGGTGGCTCAGTGGTAGAGCTCTTGCCTTGTATGCATGTAGGCCCTGGGTTCGATTCCTCAGCACCACATAAGCAGAAAAAGCCAGAAGTGGTGCTGTAGCTCAAATGGTAGAGTACTACCCTTGAGCTGAAGAGCTGAGGGACAGTGCCCAGGCCAAGTTCAGGCCCCATGACCGACAAAAATAAATAAATAGATAGATAGATAAATCAGTTCAAATTATTCATTTTTCAAATATACAGGATACTAAATCTGGTCCAAGTTCATTTGAAGCAGATGTTTTCTTCTATCATACCTTGATAAAAAGTGTCAGTGTATGTGTGCTGCTGGGAGCAGTAGGGATGAGTTGAGTCATGTCCAGACAAGGAGAAGGTGATTCCACTCTGATGTAGCCAGAACATTCCAGACTACTTATGCTTACTTCTACCTATGAGTGTTATAGGAACCAGATTGTCAACTTACACAGTAGTCTTTCTTTACCTGAGGGGATGCTGTCCAAACCCCCAATGCATGCTGGAAATCACAAATAATACCAAACTCTATCTATACTGTATTTTTCCTACACATACCTATGGTAAAATTAAGCTCAGTTAATAGATACAATATGACATTAATAACAATAATATTTTTTAAAAGTTATAACAACACACTGTAATAAAGGTGATATATATGCACATGGACTCTCTCAGTATTATATTCTTCTATCTGCAAGTGTTCTTTCTTTTGCTTTAGGTCTTCACAATTTAAAACTGTGAAGTGTTTATATCTCGAGTCCTCAATTATTTTTGGGATTGTAGCTTACCGAAAATAGCCAAAGCATAGAATGTGAAGCATGGATAAAGAAATGCTACTGTCATGCATCCAAATCATAATAGAGCAG